CTGGGAGGCTGCAGTTGCCTCATCATTTCTGATACTAGCTGTCCACTCCAACCCTCATCACCTTACTCCCCCATCACAGGCATTTCTGTAATTTGCTAATAAAAATGGCTTTACATGCAGGGCAAATCAAGCCCCCTCCAACATACTCCTCTGTACTTGGCCTGCTAGCTCAAGCAACAAGGCCAATGTGGCTAGAGCTGACTTGAGACAGAGGATGGCAGGAGATGAGGTCAGAGAGATGGTCAGAAGACTATATGAGACTTTCTTTGTCATGAGCAGAGATTGGACTCTATCCTGATAGTGGGAAAATTTTAAATCACACACATGTAGCCACCACATCAGTAAGGAATGGATTTGCCAGTCAAACCATTCCTACATCCGTGGGTCCTGGACCATAACCTTCTCTTCCCATTTCTGTCTACATATTGAACCCTTTAGGAGTCATCCATGCATATATGTGGACACCTAATCTGCATGTTGGAGCTTGATTCATCTCCCAAAATAATTTCTTTTTTTTAAATATATTTTATTGATTTTTTACAGAGAGGAAGGGAGAGAGATAGAGACTCAGAAACATCGATGAGAGAGGAACATCGATCAGCTGCCTCCTGCACATCCCTCACTGGGGAAGTGCGCGCAACCCAGGTACATGCCCTTGACCGGAATCGAACCTGGGACCTTTCAGTCCGCAGGCCAACACTCTATCCACTGAGCCAAACCGGTTTCGGCCCAAAATAATTTCTTGTCCACTCCTTGGATCTACAGGTATGCACACCAGCATGGCCTACTTTGGTTATAAAGTGCAAGATTGACTAGGGAGAGACCCACACAGGTAACCCAACACTTAGGTTCAGGAACACTTAATTGGGAATTCTAGAGAGCTGGGTTCTCCGAGCTTGGTCTAGAACAGCATTGTCCAAGAAGATAGCCATTAATCACATATGGCTACTTAAGTTTAAATTAATTAAAATAAAAGTTTAAAATGTAGTTCCACAGTTACACTAGCCACATTTTAAGTGCTCAATAGCCACATTTGGCTACTATCATATTGGACAGTGCAGATGTAGTACATGTCTATCTAGAACTTTCAATAGAACTTTCAAATGTTCTGCTGGACAGTGCTGGTTATGAAGGAGATGTGGTATGGGTTCAGTAAGACAGGAAAGTATCACCCCTACACTGGAAAAAAGAAGGCAACAGACAAAGCTTTCAAAGTAGTCACTATAAATATGTTCAAACAACTAAAAGTAATGATGATTTTAAAATAAAAGAAAGGTATGTTCTTCCATCTGTTTATGTCTTCCTCTATCTCTTTTTTCAACATCCTGTAGTTTTCTGAGTAGAGGTCTTTTACCTCTTTATA